TTGGTGTGCAGTGGTGCATCATGGTCCTGAGCTGTTCCGTGCTATGACATCATGTCGCGTCACATGTTGCACGTGCGTCAGTCACAGTGTAAACGGTGGAGTTTTGGTTAAAAATACTTCAGTTTTGAGGTTGACTAAAAAATAAATAAAAAAACGCAACATTTTTTTTACTTCATAATTTAAATAATTAATATTTTAATATAGTTTATTAATACAATTTAATATAGTTAATTAATAATAAGTTTATTTTTTTCCCCACTCTCTAATCAACAGATCCACTCCTGACGTTAGCCTCAAGCCACGCGTGACCGAAGCCTCAGATATCCAGGTCCAGCAGCACAACGGCGCCCCCTACCTGCCCATGTCTCGGACTCCCTTCCCCGCTGTAACTGTGGACCAGTCCATCAACAACTTCTCAGGTGAGAAAGGTTGAAGACAGAGACCAATCAGGGAGGTCGAGTCAGGTCATCATCTGAGTTCCACTTCCACAGGAAACCCAATCACAGCCGTCTACGCCATCTCCGCCAACCGACCGGGATACTCCGACTACTTCGTCATGTCGCCACCCTCCTCGTACCGCAGCCCGTCCTGGATGTCCTACCCACCTGAGCCAGAAGACCTGCCGAGGCAGTGGAACGACGTTCCGGTCAGAACACGGACCAGAACATCATGTTTGGATCCGTTATTATTATTAATCATTTTCTTTCTTTCTGTCTTTCTTTTTTTTTTTCCTGACAGAATCCTCGTGTCATCTTGAAACCATCTGTTGAAGCCGTCCAGGTTTTCCGTGAGTCATCGTCTTCTCAGCTCTCTTTTGGTTTTTAAAATGTCGTGAATTCAAGCCTCGGTTGAAAATATCAATATGTGAATGTAACGGGAGTCCACTTCCTGTCACATGGTCCTTCAGTTTCGGGAACTGTTGGAACTAGATCCAGGAGTGAGTGAGAGTAAAAACTGAGGGTCAATAAAATCAGGAACCAGACTCAGTGTTTATGATCAGCATCATCACAGGTTTGACAGGCAGAGGCAAGAAATATAAAATATATATAACAATATAAAATACATATATATCCTCACTGATATACTGATGAATATATGTTAAGATTTAAACATTATTTCCATCAAGGATCGACTGCTCTGTCTGTTGGTCGTCCTCACTCTCTCTCTCTCTCTCTCTCACCTCCTTCAGGTTGTTCTCCCTCTCTCTCCCTCTGGATGGTGGAGGACCTCCTCCTCCTCCTCCTTCTTCTTCTTCTTCTTCTTCTCCTGGATCTCCGCCCCTCCCTCTCTTCCTCTCTGCCTTCTTGGACCTCGGCCTCCGTCCTGTCCGACCTCTTGACCCCTGGTGGCCTCTGCTCTCCCTCTCTTCCTGTCTGTCCACCGACCTGCCCGTCGTTCGTCTCCTCTCGTTCTCCTCCACCTGCAGCTCTGAACTCCTTCTTCTTCTTCTTCTGGTCGGAGCTCCGCTTCAGTCTCAGCCATAATTGTGAGTCCAGAGCCCCCTGCTGGTACTCACAGACTTTTCAGGCGCGTAGTTGGGGCCTTTATATGTAGACTATTTTTCTGTGGTGGTCAC